CCGATTATGTCAATGTCGGAACTCTCAGTGGGATATAGCCTGCATACAGGAAACAAAATGGAAAAACGGAAAATCACGCGATGTTGGAGATGGCTATAAGCTCCTCTATAATGGCACAAGCTGCAGTCGCAATGGCGAAGGTATAGCTGTCACAAAAAGCTTAAGAAGCGCGATTGCGCAGTTGACCGGCTAAGTGATGGACTGCATGAAGACTGACAGTGGTAGAAAAATTCTCCGAATTGTTACCGCATACGCTTCGCAGACCGGATGCAAGGAGAAAGAGAAGAAGATGTTCTGACGGGTTGGCGATTACATCACATTCATTCCACAGGATGAGATACTCCTGCTCGGAGCAGATATTAACGGTGATGGGGGAGAAAAGAAATGATGCGGGAAAGTGTCACGGGAACCACGGATACGGCGCATGCAATGAAGAAGGCGAACGCATTCTATAATCGCCACAGTGTATAACCTAGCATTAGTCAACACGTACTACATCAAAAAGCATGAACATCTGATTACATATTCAAGTGGAGACCATCGAACACAAATTGACCACTGGGCAGTGCGTCACAGTTAAGTTAAGGACATAAGAGATTGCAAATTTATGCCAGGTGTAAGCTGCATACCTCGACATAGCCACTACTTCTAGACCTAAATCCGGTTGAAAGACAAAAAAAAACCATAACAACAAAGTACGAATCAAGTGGTGGAAATTGGAAGGGTCTTCGGCCAAAGAAGTTCTGGTAAGTACTCCAGTGGCCTTATGCGAGAAACCAGAACAGTTACGGTCAACCTTGAAGCTCAATGTACATCGAGCAAGGAATTTACTAGGTCATACGAAGTCAGGAAGAAGAAGAAGATAAAGAAGCTTGTGGTGAAACGATGAGGTTCAAGTAGTGATAAAGTGACAGAACAGAGTGAGTGAAACATAAACAGTGAAAGAGTTAGGCATACAAACGAAGGCATAAATGAAAATGGGAAGTAACCGGCAATTGTATTTAAAAATGAAACACGCTGCAAAAACATGTGTCAAGAAGCGAAGAAGCATACATACTATACCAGTATAGCAAATTGGAATCTAATGAGGGAGAGAGCGAGATATATACCGACTAGCGCGAAGGAGGGCAGAATCCGCAAAAGATATGGAACACTTCTACCATGTCAAAGACAAGCTTGGAAAAACATTGAGAAGACCACAGGAAATAAATGAGAGATGGCGGACGTACTTCGAAGAAAGTGAACGGACCAGTGCCACAGCTGAGGAAATATGGCTTGCTATAACAAAAAGAAAGAACGGTAAGGCTTTCGGTCCAGATGGCATACCAAGCGA